AGTTACTTGCTGGTTGTGCATTAATATTAGTAAACTCTGGAGAAAGAAAGAATGATCTCAGGCCTTTGATCTCAAGCTTCAAAGCCATAATAAGTCTCCAGTTCTACATATTATATTTCAATACTTCAGTAAGGTTAAACATGCACATGCAGACGAGAGAGTTTGATATAGCAACAGCATGAGACTTTCCATTATACATTGGAAAATGGTTCATCTTCTCATCTTCTTGCTTTGTGAAATGTCTTTTCTATCTGGGGCCATAAATAATGGCAGCTCATTGAATTTTGTCAAAAAACAGCTCAAACAAACTTTCTCTCAACTTAACTACTGACTTTAATGTACTAACTTTTGAGTAACTTTAAAATGGCTTTAATTTTTCCTAAAAAAATAGGCCAAGCTTGTACTAAAACTCTGATTTGGCTTACCCAATAAAAATTTATCCGAAGAAGTCATGCCTCACAGGATGGTGGGACTGGAAATTAATACTCCTCTATAGGCAGATGACTCTTCAGATGACTCTTTGAAATTTGCAAGTGTACAGCTTATTCTAGGTGTAGAGAGGACAAACCCCATCACCACCTGATGTTTCTTCATATACACAAAATGAATGTATCTCTAGTTGGTTTTGTAAAACCTCTTGAGATCTGCTGATGGAAAGAAGATGTTCCTGTTTTCTATCTGTGTGGAACAACTCAAAGGTACCAAAATGTTTGAAAAATGCTCTGCGTCATACTCCTGTTGTGAAATGTGGGGGAAAAATTAAGCCCCTCTTAAAATGGTTGATTCTACGTTTGGATTCATGTGTATCACAGAGGAAAATGAACTGCTGATGTTCCACAAGTGAACATCTGCAATTTCAATCCAGTATGGCACAGGCTAAGGCTGTATGCTTCATTGCTGTGATCTTTTCTTTTTATTTTTTTAAATACTGCATGCAGCACAGGAGTCTGTTCTTTGCCCTTTGTGGGACTTGGAGACTTTCCACAGTTTAATATGAAAAAGGGCTGTTGCTGAAGGAGTGTAGTCATCCAGTTTGCTTTGAAGATGTGGCAGCAGAGTGTGTGTTTGTCTCCTTCAAGGGTGTGTCCCACAGCTGCCGGATGCCTTCACTTTCATGGATTTCCCCTTGCAACAGTTTGTGATTATACACACCCAATTAACACCATCTCTGACACATACCCTGCAGGCAGCACAGACAGCATCAAAAGGGATCACAGTGAGGCACTTGGTACCAGGACTCAGAGGTTGGCTGTTCTCTGGTGCTTATTTGGAGCAGGGAGGCCAGATAAAGTGTACGGTCTCATCCAAGTGTTTTTCTTTTTCTAAATGTAAATATGTCCTTAAAATAAATGTAATTTTCTTTTGGACCACAACATCATTGTATCTCTGTATGATTTCACTGAGGGCAGAACTAAGGTTGCCTGAAGTATCTTGTTTGTATTTCCATGGCTAGTGAAATAGCTTCATTTTATAAGTAACTTGCGCTGCAGCCTTCTTGTGGGATTATTTCTGTCTGACTGTAATGTTTTGATGTTTAAATTTCTAATATGTTTTTACTTCATTTACGCAAATGCTTTGTTCTTGGTAAAGAGTCACAATACCCCACAAGACCCAAAGTCTCCATTACTGTGCAGTACAGTAAATTGTCAATAGAGCTTCATTATTGGCATAATTCCAAAGTTTTATTAAAATGCTTTTTTTTTTGTTGTTTGAACAGTCCAGTCAGATTAGAGTACAGATAAGATGTGAGTACATGCAGTTAGTGTCACCAAATCTCTTTTTCTGATTCAAGGGCAGAATGATGAGAAGGCACAATCTGGGGAAGCAAGGAATATTTTTTTAAATGTGTCACTGAAGAGGATGAAAAAATAAAAGCTATGGGCATGCCAAAGTTTTTTGCAAAGGGAAAGGATTAGGATAGCAAACAAAAATCGGTTTTTCAATTTACTTGGTAAATCATCCCATAATAGCCCTTTAACACATCTGTAGCAATAATAAATGTGAGAAATGTAATTAAGTGCAAGAAGTAAACAACTTTTGCTAAAAATACAGACCCAAAGTTGAAGCTTGGCCATGGGCCATCAGCAGGTCACCCTCAGAGCCAGCCCCCAGAGAATGGACATCTTTTGCTTCTATGTCCTTGCTCAGAACTGCCCTTTCATTAGGAAATAAAAGGAGGTTTTATTTTTATTCATTAGGCTTGGCAGCTGTGGATATAATTTTCTTTACACTAATTTTTGAATTAATATTAATTAATGTAATTAATACAAATAATTAGAAATTGTAATTAATTAATAGAACTGCTGCAATCTGACAATGGCTCCTCAGCTAAGCCTAGGGCTTGACCCAAGCAGCTGTCACCAGGATTAAACACTCAATGAAAATAAAAATTACACCAGCAATTCGGTATGTAATTAATCAGCAGATTCTTTGCGTAGTGCATGGCTTGCTGCTTCCTCAATGGACACCCATGCTGAACACTGTGCAAGTAGTGCTGATCCCAGCCAAAACTCAGATGTTTCAGTTGGAACATGCCTGGATGTCCATGGCCATTTCAATGCCAAGGGTTAATGGTTGGTATTGCTCACATGCATGTAGGAGCTAAGCTCTGTGCTCTCAAAGAGCATGGCTGCCCCCCTGACTCAGTGCAAGATGTGACATCTCTCTGCCAGTAATGGTAAAAAAAAAACAAAACAAAACCTAAACCAAAAGGTATGCTCTAAAAAGCAGAGGAAGTACCACAGATTTAGGGTTTTACAAGTTCTAGTCAAAGATGTTGCTGAACATATAGTCAAGCTAATACTGGCAAGCATCCCAAACACCATGGACATCAATAACAACTAAATCTGAGCAGAGAGCAGTGAAATGTGTTTCATAAAGGGGGCTGGCACAGAAACAAAAACATGATAAAACGGTACCTTGACAATCAACTATTTATGGACATTATATACAGACTTTCTTTGTGATAATGATTTGTTTCAGTAGCAAGCAAGCATCTACTTCCCTGTAAGAATGAGACAGGCACCTCTTAAATTGCATGGGGTATATGGAGCAGTGCCTGCTGCTGAGATTATAGGAAGAGATCACAAAGAGATGTTGTGGCCAAAGGAAGCAGTGTGAAGTTATTTAGTGTGTCACATAAAAAGGTGACCCTTTGTGTTTATACAAGGTCTTTTATCAGCTGACAACATCAAACCACCCCAAGGATGTTGTGCTAATCTGTTCCTTGCCTATCAGCTGTGATATGCATACAGCAACATCTGTTACTGGAAAAGATGTAAAGGGACCTACCACAGGACTAAAGTGAAATAAAATGACATTGTTCTTAGAAAGTAAAGTTATTGCAAGTGAAAACAACTGCTCTGTAAGTATGAGCATATTATATATTTTATCCAAAGCAATTCTGTTTATTCACAGTCCATATATATCAGTAAATAATGGACAGATAACCTTTATGCATTAGCACTTGTGTTACTTATTTGTTGCAGTGATTTTTTAGGTAATTTCATACTGAGGGTCCGCTGAGAGTAAATTTATTAAAACTCATGAAAATGTCAAGCAGAACTGTCTTGTCATTGAAGCAGCTGGTGACTTGGGCATAGGGAAATATTCCTCTTTCAGGGGCACTGTTGGACTTACAGAAACAGACTTGTCTGAGTTCAAGGGCTCACTATTCCTTTCTCTAGTTTTGAATAAAGGGTTCTCAATTACTCTAGAGCAACGTATGGGCATTAGGGCTCCTGATTACTTTGTCTGAGGTTTTTGCACCATTTCCAAGCTATTACCTCTTCTGCTGTGGAAAAGTTGCTGGGAAACTAAGTCTATATCTATCCTTTTCCTATAGACAATTCACATTATAGTGGACAGAAAGAGCAACTAACATGAAGAGCACATTTTTCATTTCAGCCCTTCATCTTTGCAAGAGGATTTGTGCCTTTGTCCTCTCAGAAACAGGAAAGCCCCCGAACATGCATGGAACAGGGGGGCCTTGACCATGGGCACCGAAGGTTCATGCACAGAGCACCTTCAGTGGAAAGCAGATAAACTGAGGGTGTGATTTTCAGAGTATGATTTCCCTATACCTTGTCCCTGCCTTTTAATGATTCTGCTGAGAGCAGTAGAAACAGCATTTCTGAATTCACGTTGCTACACATGCAGAACCATCTAAACATTTTGCATATGGAGAAACCACCAACTGCAAATCTCTTGGCTCTTTTCAGTTATATTTTAGGTCTGTGCCAAATAGGCGCATGTTCTGAACAAGCTAACTTGAAATATAGTGGTGACATCCACAGTAGCAGTTTCACATAGGGTCATGTTAGCAGCTTTGCTCCCTGTCGTTGTGGTATTTTCACATAAGAAGAGACTGGGCGGTATGAACTGTGCTTGAGGGATTTCCTAGCATGAAACTGCTCAGTTATGCTGCATCAGCCCTGTTCCTTTGGAGTGTCTTAAAGTCTGGCACTTAGTAGTGATGCTGTTGAGAAAACAGACATACAGCTATTTTCACGCCTTCAGAGCAGGAAGGGTCTGGAGGTAACCTGAAGAGAAGGCATCATCTCTTGCATGGAGGGACATGTGCTCATTGCCTACAGAATTCATACACTTAACACTACTGTCATGATAGTTGGTAAAATTATTAAATTATTACTTTCTAGGAATAAAAAGTTTTTATTTTATGTTGACACAAAACGGAGTTTGCCTTCCCCCATTATGGTCTCAGTCCTCTCTACCTTGACATTTCTTGGGTCTTCTCAACTCCCTGTTTCTGTGTGGTTCCCTGGTGCTCTGGAGGCTTTTCTGCATTAAAGCAGCACACCAAAAAAGAGGTGAGCCCTTGGGATGTAACCTCAGGGATGCCTTTAACTTTCATTCCATTTAGCACAAGTTGCTGCAGCATTGAATGCCGTGTGACTGGAAAGTAGACAGCTCCAACCCTCGGGCAGGGTTGGAATGCCAAAACGTTCCTTTCTTATTTGTTTTGGGGTTTTGTTCTGCAGGTCCTGTGTGACAGACATGTGTGAGTGTCCGATCCATAAAAACTGCTACTGTGAGTCCTTCCTGGCATACGCCCGAGCCTGTCAGAGGGAAGGGCTGAAAGTCCAGTGGGTGCCGGAGCACAACTGCGCAGGTGAGCATTTTGGGACTGCTTCTTTGTTATTGTTGCATACTCTAATAGGCTGTGATCATACTATCCTTTTAGTGGTGGAGCAGGATCAAAAATGATACAGGAATTGTAGCAGCTTGGAAGTTCTTGGAAGTTTTTCTTTCAGGATATGTAAACTGTTGATTTTTCTGATTACAGAAAAACCTTGACCTACTGTCAAAACATAGGTATATTTCTATGGGCAGCATGTACATATAATTGCAGTAAGTTCAACAAGGAAAGAGAAGCAAATGTATTTAGTGCAAATGTAAATTAAAATGTAAACCCTTGCAGTAAGTTCAACAAGGAAAGAGAAGCAAATGTATTTAGTGCAAATATTAAAATGTAAACCTGCATTAACAATTCTGTTTGGTCCATACTTTGTGATTTGGACTTGATTAATTGCAAGTAATTGTGAGTAATTGCCTCCATGAGAAGCAGTGGCCTGTGGCTATGGGCACTTGAACAAAAATGCAATATTGCAGATGAGTATTTCCCCTGATGATGGTCTCATTAATTTAGGACACTCTATAATGGCATTGGTTTGTCTAGAAATGTATTCAGATTTATGTAAAGCAATTAACAGTAGTTGAAAAAAACCAAAAAACAATGAGAGGAGGATACTCAGTGCTGGTCTATGAGCTATTACTCTGTGGTCCATTTTGGTGACTGTGTGTGGCTCAGGATCTCTCTGAAGTTCAATTTCCTTTTCTGTTGAAGGCACTCACTCAGGGATGAGTGAGTGACAGAGCAAATTATGTTTGATTGACTGTTCCCAAAAGGTTCATGTTTTTTCCTTACAAAGCAACAGGACTCTACAAACAGGGTCTCACTAAGTGAAAACCCTATTCAAGGATGTGGTTTTGGACAGCACTAGTAATATATATAATTTTAATAAATCTATCTGGTAGCTGATCCATGCAGAACCTAAAGCAAGCATCGTGACTTTTTTACAAAGCACTTCAGATTGAGACGTCTCCATGGCAGATGCTGTAAAAAGAATAAAAACTCCTTGCTAGCAGCCCCTGCCTTAAGGAGTTTATACAAGTGTTGACATATCACGACTTAACTAATTGAGGCTTCATTTCACAATTTTTTTTCTGGCATCTTACCAAACAGGAGAAAATTTTCTGAGGCAAAACCAGTCCTTGAGAGAACATTATGAAGAAATTGAAACACACAGCCTCCATTAAAGCTAATGAAAGACATTTTTAAATCAACATGAATTTTTTAATCTCTTCTAGAGGGAATGGGGAAATCTTGTTAAGCAGAAAATGTAAATAAGCTATATAAGGCTAAGTACCCTCAAAACACTTATTTAAGTATCCAATGTTAGATAAGTAGCACCATCTTCTAAGTAAATAATACAGTAAGCATTAAATTAAAGAGTATCCACTGCTTTCCATATGGTACTAGTGGCCAGCATCAAGATTTTAATCTTTAACGGGCTTTTTTTTCTCTACAAAACAAGTAGTTGCAATTATTGTGTCTCAATTACAGATAAAAGTTCATATGTGGGAAACAAAATTTCTGTAATAAAACTTTAGCATTCTATGGCTTTCATTTCCTGCTTGACATTTCATAACTGCAGGGATACTTGCAAGAGTTGTGTTCTGATGAAAATGGTGTATACTTATTAGTAAGTCAGGTTTTAGTTATACTTTTGTGTGTTTTAAAACCAGATCTTTTGTGGTTGCCAGGTGCTCTACCCTAACTGCTGTAAACTTAGCTCATCTTTATAATCTTCAGGAAACTTGTGTTGTCTGGAGGGCCAGCCAAATAGGATGCTCAGTAGGCTGAATTACATGTCCTGTTCCCTACGTGCTCTTCTCTCTCCCCCAGTGCAATAGCTTGTGCTCCTCTACATTATTCTGCAGAACACTGCTGCTCAAGGTTTGATGTCCTATGAGGTTGGCTCATTAAAGGGAATGCCAGCTGTCATTTAACTGAAGGAGTGAAAAGTGGAAGATAATGAGGAAACAAAATGGTTAGGGTAGGAAAAGGTTGGTGAACATGGGAACTGAGAGGGTTAGGAAAAGGATATGGGTTGCCACAGAAAGTAGTAGGGAATTAGACCTGTTAGGATGGGCGTAGGAAAAAATATAGTTCTTGAAGGAGAAATTAAAAAACCAGGACAGCCAGTATGAGGGAAAGAAGAAAAAAGAAAAAGTGATACATGGAAGAGGAAAAATAAAGGATAGAAATGGACAGAAGCAGTTTGAAAAGCAAAGGAGAAATAAAAAACCTTTCTCTTTTACCCAAGAAAAGCTAGACAAGAAGTTTATAAAGTACAATTAAGTAAACGGATGTGGTAAAAGGCCTTGGGATATAGTAACTTAATGCTGCATTTCTCAGGATACCAAGAGAAAGAAGACTCAAGGATGGTAGAAGGCAATAACTCCCTGCCATGGGCATGACTACACATGCAAGAAAACAAGATAAGGGCTATAACATAGTGCAAAATGCACTGATGTGCTGACATGCTACAACAGTTACATAAAATCTGAACAATTTTCTCTTTTCCTCTGTGATCAGTTGAATTGGAGGGAGATGAGCATATATCTGGTTTTGACTCTTCTCCTTTGGGTCCCTTTTCTGCTGGAGAATTTTACGGCATGTGTCACTCTTTTTCCCTGCTATATGTTGCTTTCCTTTAACTGCTTTATTGCCTGTGTAAATGTATCAGGAGGGCTATTTTGGCTTTTCAGTGGATACTTACTAAAAGCTGAAAGTATTAATGGAGTGTATCATGGGAAGTTCAGTGCTCAGATCCATCACCTTTAGCTCTGTTAGAAGGAGATGTAGTGAATTGCAAGCACTAGGAGTGAAATGCCATTTGAAAGTCTTACAGAAGACCTCCATACTGTGTAACACTGACAGAAGAAGCCAGAACATTCATTGATGCTCAAATATTAGTTCAGAATTTTCTGTGAAATCAGATTTGTCAGATATCATCAACCAAGGGAATCCTTCAGCAGTTATACTACATATTTTGGCTTTTTTTTGTTGGGGAATTAGATTTCCTCCTGAATAATTACAGCCATGTCTACAAAGACAGGCACAGAAGCCTTCTCTGTGAAACTGCCAAAGTGGCTGGACTAAACCAGGTCTAGTTTGCAGACTAGTATCCTTAATAGGCTGGATTTATTAGCTCAGGCACAGTGCTGTATTTATATGACTATATGGCTTCTGGACTGGAGCTGGCTATTATCCCACCAGCTCAGAAAGTGGTCTGAGGAAGCTCACATCTGTCATGCCAAACACATGTTCTAGAAGAAGAGTGGAAAAATCCTGTTAGGACTGGTAATGTTTCAAAATACAGTATTATTAGTAACTTTTGTATGTTGGGTTTGGGTTTTTGATTTTTTTTTTTCTTTGCTAGTGTACTAAGGAAGTTATTAGTAACAGAGCTCAGTTCTTTAAGAGAGGAATTTGTCTTAGAAGAAGGGTGCAAAGACACCACTTCTGTTTTCCATGTTTACATGGTAGTGAATCACTTCAGCAGTTCCTGGGAAGCCTTCTGCAGAATGTCTTTATTTTTATATTTTAAACTGTTGATGAAGTGGAATGTTGGATCAATCACACCACATGTTAACAACTGAATCACTCAACAATAAAAGCCATCCAGGGAACTTAAACAGCAGCCATTGTACTTTTTGATTTTCCCCTTGACAGCATGTTAATAATGCCATTATAGGCTGCCTACAGCAGAAAATAGTAATCATATCTTCTACATGGCATGGTCTGAAGGAAAAGGAGGTGTTCTGACATCCCACATGCATGTATGGTAAAGCAGAAGGGGGAGTACTTAACAGATGCCATGGCTGCTGAGGGCAGGCTGTAATAGGTTCTCATTTGCTCAGGGGCAGAGATGAGGAAGTGGAAAGAAGTCTTTAGCCAACTCTCCTTAAACCTACCAGCTGAGGAACCAAACAGAGCTCAGGTGGAAGGAATGGGCCAGCTATTACTGCACTAAAGCTTTGTGGGATGAAACTTGTGCAGCCTTAAAACTGAAGCTTGTATTGCTTTCTGTATGGAAACTACATGTGCTGAAGTCTAATGTTTGTTTTTCATTGGTCAATTAGAGATCCTACAAAGGGAAGCTCATTTTCAGAGAGGAAGGATAAAAGCTTCTAATAAACAGCTCCTGTAAGAGAATTCACATTGTGTATGGACAATTACTAATTGTCCCTGAATGTCTTGGTCTGCTTTTCTAGTCTCTTAATACGTTGTTTGCAAATCACTGGGGAGATCTGCACAGTTTTGTTTCCCCTCTTAAAAAGATTCAATCTCTATTCTTAACACACTATGTAAGTGTAGACTTGCATGTTTTTTCCCACCTTCTAACTTTCCTGTTTAATTTAAATTTTTTTTTTTTGGTTTTTCCTTTTGTTTGTTCCTTCTTAAGTATGTGTGAAAGTTATCATGCAGAGCAAGACAGAAATGTAAAGGTGGAAAAATATTCTCAAAAGATCTATGCTCACAAACTGAATAAGCCTATCTTGAACATAGTTGACAGACAGATATTTGTTTCCAGCCTATTCCAAAACAATGTTCAATTAAAGATGTCTCAGAGAGTTTCTAGGTAGGTTGCTCTAGGTGATTTCTTATGCTTAGGGATTGAAGGTTGGGGTTTTTTCTCCCTTGATATCTAATATCCATCTAACATTCAGCATTTGATTCTCTGTAACACCAGGATAATTTGCCTCTGTACTATCATATTTTTTACAATTTTGGCTTTTTTTATTAATATCTGTGTCCTGAGAATTGTGTATGCATAAATTCCATAAGTAAAGTAAAACTTCAAAGAAGCTGATGCTGTTTTGAAGATCCCTTAGTGGTGAAAAGGAACCCCCTTAAATTTATTATATCTTAGCAATAAGACTTCCATCCTCTTTGATACACTTACATATATTTCATCAATTTATTTCTGTTTTTATGAATAATAGCAGTACTGTAATGAAACTGTAGGCTAATTCTCAAAATAAAAGTGTTTTCTGTCTGTAAGAAAATATTGCTTAAAAAATATTGACCTTCAGTCCCTCTCAAAGTTGAAGAAATTTTCCTAAGACAATTACCTCTCTCAAAGTAACATGAGATGATTCTGGATGCTTGAAAGTCCCTTTCCATCTACGAACTATTTTATCAGTCCTTGTTTTTGCCATCAGCACAGCTGTTTAAAAGAATAGCAGACTTTTATTTGACATTGAACTGTGTATTATTCTCCATACTAAAAAAGCAGGATATAAAATGTTGAGAGTTTCAATATTGATCTGGAGGGTTTATAATGCTTTTAGCTGAGCCTTCAGTGATCTTTTATGTTGAAAATGCATTGAACTGTTAGCTGCATAAATTAATGAATAGATACTGGAATCATTAAATACAGGAGCCCTCACTGTCAGTGATCCCTTGGTGAAACAGCATGGATACAATTGATTTTTAATTTTTGTTTTCTTGTTTATTTGTTTTAGAAACGGTGCTTTTGGATAACAACATTGATTTAGTTTGCTGCAATATGAAATATGGAAAATATAATCTTAGGATCAGAAATTCTAATGGAGTGAATTACTCTCCTTACTCTTCTTCTTTCCGTAGGAATGGAACTGATAATAAAACTGTCTGTTCTTGTAAATGTTTCAGAAATCTTTGATAAAAGACATTGTAATGAATAAACAGTTTTAATCCTCTAATTAAAGGATTAAAGCATAGATCTGCATATAGACTCTTTGATAAAAGACATTGTAATGAATAAACAGTTTTAATCCTCTAATATAAAGCACAGATCTGCATATAGATAGAAACCTTGCTAAAGCTTTATATACCATTAGCTGTGTCAAAATTCTCAAAAAGTTCAGTACTGCTGTGGATTTGATAGCTTTGGAAAAGGAATTTTGCTACTTTTATATTTATTATGTAATATAGTGGAATCATTTTACAAGTAATGTATTCCTCTAGGTAATCATCATGCTAAAGTGTGCTTTTGATATTTGCAGTAGAAACGGAGCAAACAGATAAGTAAATTTCCTTGTGGGGCTCTGTGTAATATGCATATTTTGTTCTTTTTAACTCCTTTCAGCAACCCAGTGTAAACACGGTGCAGTTTATGATACCTGTGGTCCGGGATGTGTCAAAACATGTGACAACTGGAATGAAATTGGACCATGCAACAAGCCCTGCATTGCAGGGTGTCATTGCCCTGCAAATTTAGTTCTTCACAGAGGAAGATGCATCAAACCAGTCCTGTGCCCACAGCGGTGACATTCATTCTCTTTCCATGGACACCAGTGCGGGTGGTCACTGACTCCCCTGAGCTCACAGCCAGTGAAGGACTCCAGCTGTTTGTGTGCAGATTCTGCAAAGTACATGTCTACTCACAGAGTGTAAATATGCTCCTCTCTGTCTATTTGTGTGTCTCTAAGTACACACATGAGGCACCTAGAAAGATATATAAATGTATACTGTGTGTATTTGGACACACGTGTCCATACACAAGTGCCCTAAACGTAAGTACAACCCATATATTTATATATATGTCCACACGCAAATATACATAATTTCTATATACCATAGAAGGATGAATTATAATATGTATATTTTTTGCTATAAAGTTTATGTATTATTATTTCTAGGACCCTGATCTGTAAGTCATTGTATAAATAAACCAGGTGTTTTTAATATAATATTGTGGCATGAAAAGATTGGATGACTTTGCCATTGCATAAGTTTGTCGTTACCAGGGAAACTTTTCTAGGGCCATAGCACTGCCAGGCTGGATTAGTTTCAACACAGAACCTAGATTTACAGTTGTACAGGAAACACATTTCTCTGGAGATGGAGGATTTATCTAGGAATATTTCATGCATACCTTGGAGCTGCATAGTGATTGGTGACAGTGCTTAATCAGGCAGAGAAAGCTGGGGATTGGCTTTTATGCTTTACTGAAATAACTGTGCAAAATGATTTCCAAAGCTGGTTGGATAATGGCCAGGATAGAGATATTTCTTTCTGGAACGGCACCAAAGAGTTGGGGCCAGATTTTCATAAGTGTTAGGCACCCAACAGCTCACTTTGAAAATCTGACCACTTCCCATTTCATATCCTTATGCCCCATCTCTGTTGTGTTTGGCAGTAGCTGTGAATACACAATGAGGAGCTTGAAGAAAATATTCATGTGCATATTAGCCCCTTAAACATGTTTGAAATGCCTAGGTTTGTTTCATGTCTCCCCCAAATATTATGTAGAAAGCAAATCCCACTCTGAAATGTTTTATTTCAGTGTGCTTTAAAACATCAAATAATGACAGGCTTAGTAACTCATTTAATTTATCAGCATGATTTAGAAGAAAGACAAATTCACCCCACTGAAAACCAGTAGAGAATGTCAAATGCTAATTGGAGAACTGCATTTTATTTCCTTAGTGGTCTTTTGGTTGAGGTTTACGAACATGTGGGCTCTGTGAAGTTTGCATGACTTTTGAAGTCGCCCAGGGGAGAAGTAATAATATGGGATTTCATTAGAAATGGATAAAAAAGCCATGCAACTTTCTCAAGACTGAAGGGACAGGGGGCTATTTTTCTTCACTGGAAAAGGCTCTTGTAGAGCCTGATGGAATGGTCTCTGGAGATGGAAATTCTGTTCATCTGTTTAGTGTTGCTGTGTCAAACTCAGTCTGGCCTTTGTGAGCCAAATGATGACCTAAAAGTGAAGTTACAGGAGAAAGTTTCATTCGTTGTTCATGCTGGAGTGTAAGATCTCAGTGATGTGAAACCTGCTTCATTTTTCCTATTTGACTGTGACAGAGAGAGCCAGTGAGGACACTGGCTGGATGGAATGGATGGAATGGAGGACACTGGATGGAATGGTCTCTGGAGACGATAGAAGTCTTTGTGCATCTGATTTAGGTTTATAATGAAGTAATATCTTCCCACGCAGCTACTTCCATCATGCCTTGCATTGAAATTGCACATTGTAATGATTTGAACAACTTTCTCCTTTAATTATTTTCTCTTGAGGAAGTTAAGAAGAGCCTGAGTTTACAGTAAATGAGTGGGTAAACACACTTGGGTTATGCAACCTTTCTGTGATCCTACCCTGCAGGAAGATGGTGAGTGAACCTGGTTAACTTAGGCACCACACTATCCAAAATGCTGTACCACCACAGTGTTAAAAAGAGCTGGGCATACAATGCCAAAAGTGTTCCATGGATGTTCATCCAAACCTTAAATAAACTCAGCTTGATCTTTTTATGTCCCTTTTGTGTTCGTTTTCTTGGAACAATCAAATAATTCAGTTTTACTGGCAAGAGAGGGTTTCGAAGACTCATACACAAGTGGACTGGAAGCAGAATTGAAAATGTGCAGATCCCATCAGAGCAGGAAACTAGAGGAGTTTTATGTGGCTCATGTGCTAATTGAATGGCAAAGTTGAAATTTAGAACAATTGCAGTGGGCTGAAGGAGTTAAAATATAAAATAGCAGTCATTAAAATAAAGTGTCAGTTAGACCAAAGAACTTTTCAGCTTGTGAGCTTTCAGTGCTGAGATATGGGGTTTAAAGCGTTTAAAAGAATATTTGCCTACCTTTAGTTTAGGGCATATTTTAAATACTTACTGCTCAATGTTTCCAAAATAAAAATACAGGCTATGTGATTTGTATACATGAATGGTGTATACATCTGTCTTTCTCTCTTCTTCTGACTTATAAAGGTGAGAGAAAGGTGAAGGGAGAGCCCTCCAGCTCTCTCAGTCCACTGATCACATTCAAGCAATGCTTAATTGATTCTAGGTGAAGAGGTGACTCAGTCTTTCTGTAGGATAAACTCTGGTTTTAGGTCTTAAAATGATTCAGTTTGAAACCCGACCCAGGTCATCTCAAAATGAGGACTCATTCCTTGGTTTAAGTTTTTCGTATTTGCCTAATTAAGACTCGACCCATGCTTTTCAGTTTAGTGATGTAGACTGAGGAAGAGAGGAAAATGGTTTTACCTCTAAGCCAAGTGGTTGTGCCCTTATGGTGTTGTAGAGCTTTTTCCTCCAAAATCCACAGTTTTCAAGGCAAGAGTAAATGCTATAATCTGTCTGCTCAGTTCACATGTACCATCCAAGAAAAGGTTGTTCTGCTTCTCTGAAATTACCCCCAGATTTCCACTTGGCAGAAGTTTTACATCTGTATCTATGGTTACTCTGTGCCTAACTGAACTCTTGGGACCCTATCAGGCCCAGGTGGGCCTGTTGCACTCCGCTCTTCTCTTTTTCTCTCTCTTTCAAAGCCATTCAAAAGTTGAAAGTCTAGCCCAATACCATCAATAGCATTATTATCACTGGCCTCACAAAGTTTGGATTGAAGCCCATCTTCCTCCATTTCCTCACGGAATATTGCCCCTAGGATGATAGAGCTGGAAGTTTCCTGCATATCACTGGGGATTTCTTTTTTATGAAATTAACTGGTAATCTAATTTTATATGCTAAATGTATTTTATGTGGAATAATTTTTAAAATAATAACATAACATTGATAATTGATATGGCATATGATGTATTCACCATACAAAACTGATGCTTTTGTAAATTTTGATCTTGATAATGCTTATGTCAATGTGTAAGTAACTTTGTGCCAATTTGTAAGGTGAAATATATTTGGAGGACCAGAGTATCCAATCAAAGAATGATCCAAAAGGAGAAACACTTCTGTAGTCCAATGGAGAGAGTCAAGTAGAGACCTGGATCAGCAGTTTCACAATTAATTTGCTGTGTGTTCTCTGGCAAGTCATTTAATATTCTAACTTCATTGGGGAAACAAGGCTCTGGATATATTAATCTTTTTTAAGTTTATGGATGGAAAATGTTCTAAAATGACATTCCAGGGTAATGTCAGCTGATATTTTACCAATCTACTCAGGTCTGCTTTGCATCAAGTTGTCCCATCTCTCCCAAATCATCATCAACTTTTAGTTGGCATATATGGAGGTCAAATGTATTTACTTCCTTCTCATGAATTTGTGTCTTTAAGTTGTGTCTATTTTTGTATGTTGAGTTTTATAAACCATGCAGACAAGCCATAGCCAAAGAGAGAAATTTGAGTTGTAGCCTAAGAGTCCCGCATCTTCCAAGAACACTTTTCTTCTACAGATTAAGGTTGCACTTGGACAAAAAAACACAGCCAAACAAAAAACCCCAAACAAACAAACAAAAATAGAAAAGAAAAAATATTCTGACCAAAATGCAAACCCATCCACCCCTCCCTGTATCACATAAGTAGTTTTCATCAGATAACCTAAAAGAAGTAAGTTGTCATATTTTCTGCTATTTTTGAACACAGGACTCAAACACAGTTTGACACTGCTTGGCTTCTCACTGACAGAACCTGACAGTTGCAATGGCTGGACTGATCTCGAACAGCTGTGCAGGGGTATGGCAGTTTGGGTTTCTTTGCCTTCATCAAAAGTGGACAAGGTGATATCAGAGCTAACAGATATGATAATAATAACAACATTTTCAGCTGGACAGACTGGAAAGAGAGTCAGTCAACAGCATTTAGCATTGACATGGTAAGGTGTTCTACTATTTCAGGAACAGTCCCAACTAAAGGATATTATTATGCCATGATCTCCGTATCTGACAAACAGGAGCTTTATGTTACATAACACTGATCAAATGCTTGTCCTTCTGTCCTAGATTTTATCATTTTTAGAAAGCCCTGTGGCAAGAGAGATGTTTCTGCTCCCTTACGGAATCATTTCTATTCCACCTCTGCAAATGTTTCAGGACAAAGGCCTTACTGTGTTAAGAAGTTGTTGCACATATTGATATTTCTATGCAAAATAACTGTGACAAATCAGCATCAGAATTTCTAACTACAAAATAAGGTCCTCCTGTGAACATTAGGTAACTCTTGATCCCTCACATGCCCGTGGCAAAAAAAACCACCCCACCAACCACTCAAAACCCCAATCCAATGGCAGCATAGTTATGTGTCGAGATCTGATTGGAATAGATACACTAGGTGTAGAATCCATAATTAAAATAAGATTATGAGTCTAGTCCTATTTTCTCACAACTGTTACATCACCTTTGAAGAAGTCACTAAAATTAAGGAAAGGGATTTTATTTCCAGGGTTGGAAATTTCCTAGGACATATTACCTAGCACAGCAAACCCGCCTTGATTTCCTCCAGGATTTATATTTTAGTGAACACTCATCTCCACAACTGTCAGAACAAAAGCTACAAGAGCGCTTTTATAACTAGACTTGTTCCTGGCCTTGAGATAAAATTGCAAGTTCTCCTCACTGCTGAGAGAGCATAAGTATTTTTTGTTTTTTGCAGCAACATTACTCACCATCAAGGACCATTTTAGAAACTTCAAGTGATGTTAAATATGACATGTAGCATTTGCTATTTGCATGACTTTACCCTTTTCATGGTGAGTTGAGTTAATGCCAGCCCTGCACACAGGAGGAAGTTGTCTCTAATGGGGTGCATATGTGTGGTGGGAGAGTGATGGCGTGATATAATTATCATTATCATTGATAGCACTTTCTATTTCCCTCAGTGATGCTTATACCTGGGCATCAATAAAGTTTGGTTTTGCACATTAAAGTGAATTGATGGGAATGTAGGAAATTCCTGCTCAGGCAGACCCACCTTTTTTTTTCCTTATCCAGTGGTGAAGAAATGCTTCAGAG